AGAATTCATCAGCAAGATGGCTGGGGAATTCTGGGAGCTGGAGTCCATGCAAACCAGCCAAGTTTCAGAAACACCGCTCTAGTCTGCCCACGGAACGCGGCTCTTTTAAGCCACGTAGAACAAAATGTTTCCCGTTAATTAAGATCTGACACATCTGCAGTTTCACCGTTGGTGTTGCCCCATCTAAGGGATTCTGTCCTTGTTCGTTCAGAGGCAGGAAACGGTTAGCCAGGAGCAGGAAGCCCTTCAGCTCTTCGTCTTGGAACGGCCCCACGGCGGTGAGTGGTCAACAAAGGGTTCCTCTTTCCAACGTTGGCCCTGGGTTCCAGGCGAGCCCTCCTGTAAAGACCACGTGACACCCCCACTAATTCTTGTTCTGCATTCAGGGTCCCCGTGTGGACAACGCTCACAAGAAACGTTTCTCCAGCACCCCACATACAGGCAAGGCCGGGGGTAAAGGTAAAGCGGAGGAGATCTTGGAAAACTCAGGTGGGTGGCCATCTCTGGGTCAAGCCATTTTATTTTAATCTCTCTGTATAAAATCAAAATACCCCTCACGCATCATCACAAAATCTCCAGAACCGCAAAGCTTACAAACTTGAAATTTGGCACCTATGTTCCTCTTGGCTTCAAGGGGCTCACTAAGAAAGGATTTTTCTAAATGACCATCAGAGCATTTAGAGTATTTCCTATATTATTATTATTATTATTAACACGCTCTGATGCTAAGGAGTTCTACTCCCCCTCCCCACTTGGAAGGAAAGCTATTCCAAATGCAAAAAGCAGCAAGCGGAGTAGTTTCGGTTCCAGAGCAGCAAGCAGCTTTAGTACAGAACAGTTGAGCCAAGCCACGCCCAGGCTCCTTGCTGTCTCCTTGCTCACACAGCAAATACTGCTTCCGTTTCCAAACAGCCCTCAACTCTCACACACTGACAGGACGCTAGCCGGATGAATGCCGACGGAGGCAGAATTCCCCTCCCCCTTATTTTTGCAGTTTGGGATGATCCCCCGGGGCTGCCCCACCTGATCCTGTCATCTCCCAACAGAGAACCTCTACGATGAGCCCTCGGCGGATCTCTCCGAGATCGACGCCCGTCTGCAGGCACTGCAGGAGTACATGAATAAGCTGGAAACGCAGACGTAGCCCGAGCGAGGGAGCCGAGCTTTGGCCCAGTTCGATCCGGTCCAAACGTCGATGACGTCTTTTTTCTCCACTCTCACTACCCTGGTTGTGGGTCTTCCTTCTACGGCTACGTCCTTAAGGGGGGAGGGCTGGGGTGGGGAGGGGGAATGGGAGGCGGCTGTCCCGCCAAACCTCAGCGGTGGAAAGCCTTCCTAAGAACGATTTCATTAAAGGTTTCTAAGAACGACCTTCCTGAGAAGTTTTTTCTTCTTGCAAAAATCCTTTTTATGGCAGTGATTCTTAAGCTCAGCAGCTGTAAAGATGAATATAAGAGTAATGGAGTTGGAAGGGACCATGTAGGTCCGCGATGGCAAACCTATGGCACATGGGCCACAGGTAGCACACAGAGCCATTTGCGTCGGCACGCGAGCCCCAGCCAAACTTACCTGCGCTGTGTATGCGTGCGCCTCTCAGCTGATTTTTCGGCCCCGTTTGAGGCCTTTTTCGGCCTCCCCGAGACTCAAGGGAAGCCTCTGCAGCGTTTGGAGGCCGAAAACCAGGCCCTTCATCCCTTCCTGTTTTTCCGGAAATACCAGAAGTGACTAAACAGGCCCATTTTTCGGCCTCCAAAGCCTGCAGAGGCTTCCCTTGAGCCCCTGGAAAGTTGAAAGAGGTCTCAAAACAGGCCCAAAATTCAGCTGGGAGGGGCACGCATGTGCAGTGTAGGTAAGGGGGTGGCGGCGGCAGGGGGAATTGTGTGCTTGTGGAGGTGGGCTGGGGGCACACACATTGCCTTCTGGGTGCTGGCACATGAGCGTGCAAGCACAAGCGTACGCATAATTTTTGGCACAGGAGCCCAAAAAGGTTAGCCGCCACCACTGCCCTACACTGTCCCTGATTGGACAATGGCAAGTCCAATCTAAGTGGACTTCCAATTCCCAGAATTCCCCAGCCAGCCATGTGGCCAAGTTGGCCCCCCCTTGGCTACATTTTGCTATATTCTCCTTTGCAAAGTTCGCATCCGGCGTCTCCGTGTTTTTTTTTTAAAGAGTCCACCTGCCATTTGTTTTCGCCTATGAAATTCTGCTTTACAGGTTTATTTTTTTTAAGTATCTGCTTTCTTCCAATCCAAGCCATCCTGAATCCCATTCAAATCCTTGGAAGTTTTTTTGAAGTTTGGCTCGAGAATCCTGATTTAATTAGGGTGATTGCTGGAATCCTGACACCTTAATTTTCCCCAAATGTCGGAATTCCAGCAGAGCACAGAGCGGTTGACTTTGTTCCGTTTCGCCCACCAAATCATCCGTGGGGTTAAGAAATTTGGACCACACACACACACACAAAATGCAACAACTTTTATTAGAAAGAGTTTTTTTCCCTCCCCCCCTCCAAACCGAAATCCGAGGGGCTTAAATCAACCCATGAAACGACAGGAAGGCAGCAGGAACGAATGCGTTGCTCAAATCCCGCGGTGGAAAAACAAGTTATACCGCAGAAAGTATAGATCGCATGAAAAGAGGAATGTTACTTGGAAAAAACACACAACTGCTTTGTGTAAGTAAGACAAACAGTTTGACTGGCAAGAAAGGGGCTAAGGCAAGGGGTGTGCAAACCCTTGGCAACTTTTAAAAGGGCTTCTGGAATTCTCCAGCCAGCAACTTTTTAAGATGCTGTGGGCTTCAATCCTCAGCCAGCTGTGCTAGAATCCTGGGAGTTGGAAGTCCACAAGTCTTAAAAGTTGCCAAGGTTGGACACCTTCTAGGCTCTTCAGATCAATGACGGGCTAGCTGTTTTTTTGGTTTTTGTTTTACCTGCGTGGCGTTTCCAACAGGAAATGCTCAGAAACTGCATCCTGTTCTATTACTCCTCCCATGTTTACATCGCCAAATTCAAGGATGCTTTCCATTTTGAAAGAAAGGAGCGTGCACCACCCAGAGATTTCTGGTGAGATTTTAAAAATAAAAATCCAGATTTTTTTTTTAAAAAGTCCCCCTTTTCTCAGAACAAGAAAGAAAAAAGGGGTAGGGGAGTAGGAAACTTACGACCCCTTGTCCACTCTGGGGGATCAAGGACTGGCTTTTTGCACCGACTATTTTAAAGCCGTGCTTGGTTTCAAGAGACAATCTGGACCGAGCAGAAGGCCAATGGTTGGCGGTGCCCAACCGCTGTTCTGAGGAGGGAAAGAAACCCACCCTGTTGTGGTTAGCTGGCAGCAGGTGAGGACGGCCGAGGAGAGCGAGGACTCAGATGAGGGGCCAGGACCATCAGGGAGTGGACTGCTGCCTTCAGAGATTGGGGGCTGGCAGCAACGACGAGTAGGTTGCCGAGGAGCCCGTGCCAAGTGCGTGTGCATGCAGGATTGCTCGAAAGAAAGAGCAGCTACAACAGCACGGGCAACTCAGGAGTAAGGTTGCAAGGTAAGGGCCCCTCCTTCAAGGAGATAAAAGCCAGCTGTGAAAGGAACGTACTTTGCAGAAGACAAAAACGTTTTGAAACTCCAGCCTCGTGGACATTCCAGTATCCTGAGTTTGTATTTGAAGATTCTTATATTGCAAATTATTTCTTGCCTGTTATCTTTTGGCAAGTCTCTCACAGTTTGGCAAGGCTTGTGCTTATCGCAGCTAATTATTTTGTAAAAGCATTACAAGGTTTCTGTTCTTTTGGGATGGTGTTTGATTTGTCAGAAAAGAGCGTGGGTCAGAACACACCCCTTCCGAATCTTTCACTTATTTAAGGCCCCCCCATCCCATCCCAATGGCAGGAAGGCCAATTTTGGATCTTCTCCCTCCGCCATTTTGGTTTGGCGGTTCCCACCAGCGGGGGAGACAGCCACACTCCACGCAACCTTCGTGGTAGATCCACTTCCAGAGCTCCAAGGAGAACCCGCCCCTCTTCCACAGCTTTGCAATCCTCTCTGCCTCTTGGGCCACAGCCGTCGCCTCCCGAGAAACCAGCGCCATCGTTTTCATCCCAGCCACGTCCACGTCCACGTCTGGTAGAACCGAGGAGACCTTCCGAAGGTTGGAAGAACCTCCGTCCGCCTTAGAGGGCCAGGTATTCCGCCAGGAAGGCAGCCAGGATCTTACTCAGGTTTTCCACGGTGGGACGGTCCAGGTTGGCTTCGGTGTCCTCCAGGGTGTGCCAGACCTTGGGGAACGGGGTGGCGATGAGGTGGAGGACTGGGACGCCTAAGTCAGAAATAAATACAGAAAAAAACACAAATAGGAAGGTGCTTCGGATAGCCACCAGGGAAGACCGGATGCAGAAGTTGGCGGGAATGGCAAAATGGACTAGCGTGCTCGAAGAAAAGAACTTAAGTACGCTTGTTTCTCTAGAAAGAGTCTCTACAAAGAGTGCAGAGAAGAGCAACAAAGGTGATTAGGGGCCTGGAGGCTAAAACATAGGAAGAACCGTTGCTGGAATTGGGTCTCTGTAGTTTAATAAAAAAGGAGGACTAGGGGAGACAGGATAGCAGCGTTCCAGTATTTGAGGGGCTGCCCCAAAGAAGAGGGAGTCAAGCTATTCTCCAAAGCACCAAAGAAGGCAACGGGGCAGTGGTGGGATTCAATTTTTTTTTAACTACCGGTTCTGTGGGCGTGGCTTGGTGGGCGTGGCAGGGGAAGGATATACCGCAAAATCCCCCTTCCCTCCTCACCCCACTAACCTGCTTTCCAGCTCTGTTCTCCCGGGCAGGGCAACCAAAGGAGACCCAGCCGATCAGCTGGGACTCGAGAGGTGGAGCGTAGATGGGGGTGGGGCCAGTCAGAAATGGGATTTGCTGGTTCTCCGAACTACTCAAAATTTCCGCTACCGGTTCTCCAGAACTGGAGAATCACCTCTAGAACGGTGTGTGTGTGTCTCTGTGTGTATGTCAAAGGGGATTGGGGGCTGGGAACGTACCTCTCCTGAGGAAGGGGGCATGGTCATCTTCGACAGAGCCGTACAGGGACCCTCTGTGGAAATACAGCTGTTCCTGGGAATGAGATTGGAGCAGTCCAAGGCGGTGCAGCTGTTTTTCTACAGAACGCAAAGCAGGGATTAGCCAAAGAGTCTCCTCGCACCCAGGTCTGCTTGCCTACAAGGGGCTATTCTGGCTATTGAGCCAGGACTGCATTCCTGCAAGTTCAGGACAATCTTATCATGTTTCCCTGAAAATAAGACCGGGTCCTATATTAATTTTTGCTCCAAAAGATACATTAGGACTTATTTTCCAGTTGAGTCTTATTTTGGGGGGTGAAATACGGGGCACCAAATGCATCCGTCCAGCTAACAATCTTAACTGGGGCTTATTTTCGGGGCATTTTTATAATTACGAACATCCTGAAAAATGCTTAGGGCTTATTTTCCAGTTGAGTCTTATTTTCAGGGAAACAGGGTACTTACAATCACACGTGTTGACCGGAGTTGCACAGGGGGAAAATACGGTTCTAAGTGCAGCCATCTGGCTGACAATCTTAACCAGGGCTGATTTGAGTGTAGGGTTTATATTACGAGCATCCTGAAAAATCATGCTTAGGGCTTATTTTCCAATTGGGTCTTATTTTCAGGGAGACAGGGTACTTACAATCACACTTGTTGACCAGAGTTGCACAGCGAAGAGCTTGTTAAGGGAATCGTGCGTAATTTTTACGACTCTTTTGGCCACGTCGTTAAATGAATCACTGCAACCGTTAACTGAATGTTGCGGTCGTTAAACAAATCTGACTCCCCCACCCCCAACTGACTTTGCCGGGCACCAAATAGCGACCATGTGACCCCCAGAGATCCTATGGTAAATGCCAAGCACCCAAATTCTGACCCCACGGCCGTGCGGATGCTACGGCGGTTGTAAGTGCGAGGACCGATGGTACGTCACTTGTTTTCAGGGTTGTCTTAATTGCAAACGTGTCGCTAAGCAAAGGATTTGCAAGCCGAGAACTGCCTGTCCCTGAGGTAGAGGCCTGGCTGAGGTCCTGCTACATTCTCTCACTTTCAAATTTCATTCTCCCATGACACGGATGATGCTGGAAACGAAACCTTTGCGTGGGAATCAGGAAATGCCTGTAAACTTCTGCTAACTCAGTTTCTGGATCTTACCGAGGCTAATAAGCCTCTCGAACCAACCGGATGTTGCAAGGAAGTGATTTTGAAAGGATGGCTGAGGGGCGCCCAAGAGATCCAGCAAAACGAAGAGAGACTGCAAGGGAAAAAAAATATATATATATATATAAATTGCCGATTTTCTAAAGTTAAGATGAGTG